GCAGGAACTAATCATGTAGTACACTAGTCCATTAATCATGTAGTACTAGTCACGTACCACTATGAGGTACACCCAACTCGATGGATTGTTATCCTGTGACGAAAACAAAACTTATAGAATGGCTTTCACGCGGAAATGGTTTTGTGACATCATGGTATTAAATGAAAAACTGGAACAGAAATCCCTTTTGAGAGGTACAAATCTCTAGGAAGACTAGCTGTGGATAAAATGAAAATGTTATCTCCCCGTCTATACTCATGAACGAAGTTTTCTTTTGGTACAGCTTTTGTTTTCCTTATTTCATCCTGCCAAATTTTCTGACAAGCACTCTCCAATAGGTCACGGATACAAAGAAGTACTTATTACACACACACACACACACACACACACACACACACACACACCTTTCTAGAACATTCTAACCAATCGATTTATAGATTTCAACAAATTCTGGTTTTGGACAGGTGTTGGTGGTATGCTACACTGTTTTTGGAGGGCTGATGGCATTTAACTACAACCGTGTGCTCCAGGTATGGACAGTCCCTCTGCTACTGGTGGCTTTTTTTGCCTATCTAGTGGCTCACAGTTTCCTGTCTGTGTTTGGAACTGTGCTGGATACACTTCTCCTGTGTTTTGCTGTGGACCTGGAAACCAATGACGGATCTGCAGAAAAGCCCTACTTCATGGACCAAGAGTTTTTGGTAAGCAAACATTTTGTTTCCTTTGGCAAGGCTCATTCCTCTTCCAGAGCTCTGAGAGGTTCTATCGCTACACAGACCTGAGTGAGCTCAGCTTTCCAAAGCTGAACCTCATCCCTAGAAAGATGGCAGTAACTCCTCAGTCATAGCAGCACCAAAGGACCTGAGGTACAGCAGTCAACCCAATACCCTTGCTACTAAAGGCTATAGGTTACATGCCTTGAGCAGTCTGAGTTTAACACCTGATGTTTTTCTAAGACATTTTGTATGTCATAACCCACTGAGCTGAAGAGGGAGAGGGAGACACACTGTAGACCAGGCTTTCTGTGCCAGTACTGACTCATCTGTAGTCCCCAGGCCCTCCATTAAGCAAGGCACACCCTGAGCGGTGTCCAGATGTATCTGGAAATAGCAGGCATCTGTTCTTTTCTGCAGCACACTTATTGCTCATCTGCCTTATCCTGCCTAGACAGGGATTTTTTTCCCCCCACAACAGAATGATACCATCTTTTGCCAGCATCAAGTGGAATCCTCATCTTACATTGTTGTCACACATACAAAAACAAAACTTCAGTGTGAAAACCCTGTTAGCTTTAAACAGCACCCAAAGCACTCTCAGTTCAGCAGGATGAAGTTTAATAAGCACCTCTATGGTTTTATTACAATTCATGTATCCTCATGTTTCTATATTAAAAATAAAAACAGAAGGGGCTTTGTGGCTCATGCCTATAATCCTAGCTACTCGGGAGGCAGAGAATTGGAAGTTGGCTCTTTCTGGTGGTTGTGTGAAGTTAGCTTGGTCTTTTCCTGATTCCTACTCTTGCAGTTAAAACTGCACTTTGAAGTCTCAGACCTCAACTTGCCACCCCAAAGTTTTAATTCCACAGGAAAATAAAACTTTTAAGGATTAATTTCCCTCAGACTACAAGGCCGAAAACTAGTAAATGGTTCCCAACAGCGCAGACACACCACATCCTTCACTCTTTTGTTTTTCAGAGCTTTGTAAAAAGGACCCAGAAATTTAGCAACTCAAGGTCCCAGCAAAACAAGGACTCATTGAGGAATCAGGAGGGAACAGAACTCCGGCCCATTGGGACATAAGAAACACCTGTACCTGGAGAAAGTGATCTTCCAGGCCAATGATCTGATAAGACCCACAATGGTTTGCATGTTCAACACATACGACCTTTTGATACCAACTGGGAACATTTAATACCCCATTCATGTGCACCAATTTGAAAAGAACCATGTGTAGCCAGATGTTTGGTCATCAAGCCTATAATCCCAGCTGCTCAGGAGGCTGAGATCTGAGGACTGCTGTTTTAAGCCAGCCTAGGCAGGAAACTCTGTGAGACCTTATCTCCAATAAACAACTCAAAAATAACCAAAAAACAAAACAACCTGAAGTGGCTCTGTGGCTTGATAGAATGCTCACCTTGAGCAAAAGCAGCTCAGGTACAGCGCCCAGGCCCAGAGTTCAAGCCCCAAGACCGGCAAAAGTATGTGGTTGGGCATGGTGGTACATCCTTGTAAACCCAGCACTCAGGAGGCTCAAGTAGGAGGATAAAAATTGGAGGCTAGTCTAAGCCACATAGTGAGACCTTGTCTCACAAATGTTTTTTGGTTTTGTTTTTCTCCAAAAAAAGGTAAAGGAGTGACATGGTCCCAAAAGAAATGTACTCCTTACTTGACTTCTGTAATTGTAATCCCTCATTACGTCACCTTTATAATAACCAGGAAAGAAGGAAAAATCCATGAGTTTGGGAGCATAAAACCAGTACACCATTTTTATAAAAGGCCTGTGGCAGCAGAAGTCTGAAATGCTGCTTTTCTGCAAAGCAGGACTTTATTCCTACAAATACGCAAAATCTATCAACTTTTCAAAGTACAATTCTTACATTAGGGACCTAAAAACAAAGTCTGGCCTCTCACTACAACTGGGCCTCCACTGAGATAAACAGAATTTCCAAAGATGTAATTTATTTGGTATCAAGCAGAAGGGACCTTAAAATGAGCCAATAGGAGGGGAAAACTTGGGAGGGGGTGGAGCAAAGGAAGGGGTGATATTGTCCAAAAAGAATTGTACTTATTACCTGACTTATGAAATGGTATCCCTTTGTATCTTAATAACAATAAAAATTATTTTTTAATTAGCCAACAGCCTGAGTATATTACAACTAATGTCTCATCTGGGACTCGCTTAGGGGAAGATTTGTGATATTTAGACCTAGACTCTGGAGATTTAGATGGGTTAAGGGGAGATCTTCTCCTCCATCTCCCCCAAACCACTACACATACACCCTTTTTTGAGTGCCACTGAAGCTTGATCCTGGAGCCTGGGTACTGTCTCTGAGCTTCTTTGTTCAAGGCCAGTACCCTACCACTTGAGCCACAGCTCCAATTTTGGCTTTTTAGTGCTTAGTGGAGTCTTAACAGATTGTCTCACAAACTTTTCTGCCTGGTCTGGCTTCAAACCTCGATCCTCAGATCTCAGCCTCCTGAGTAGCTAGGATTAGAGGCATGAGCCACAGGCATCAGGGGGAGCTTTTCCTTTTTAAACAAATAGGACCATCTAGCACATTGATTGGCAGCCTCATTTGTTAGATGTCTGGGTAGCATTACCCTCCCTCCTGACAAGGAGGTTCAATGTGACTTCATTGCAGGGCAAGTAATGTGATGTAAGGCTTTTCTCCTCCTTTATCACCTCCTCAAAGCCACAGTCTACACTGTGGACTATATGTATAGATCCAAATCTATACATATAGATTTATATGTGTATGTGTGCGTGCACGCATGTGTGTATATTTGTTCTTAAACAATACCACTCAATTAGCTTAGTTCCTTTAAGTTTCCTTTAAGAAAGGGATGCACACGGCAGTTTCTAGAAACATTGAACTGACTTGTAATGGGGCAAATAAACTTCAGTTTTGTGGTTCAGAGCACATGTACAGCCTCCTTATCAGTGTCAGCAAAAGAACTGTTTAAATTCCCAAGTCTTGCAACAGGTCATGTCCCACCAGAAGGAATCATTTGGCTGAGATAATGTCAGAAAGTGAGTTACCAGCTCGCTACGGTGATTGTAGCCTTGTCATTATTAATCAAACAGCACGTCCTGTTTCTGATGCAGTATGTTATTTTCACCCTACAGTATGTATATTAACTTCTTAGCCATGCACCAGTGGCTCATGACTATAATCCTAGCTACTCAGGAGGCCAAGATCCAAGAATCACAGTTCAAAGTCAGCTTGGCCATGAGACTCTTATCTCCAATTAACCTCCAAAAAAGCCCTAAATAGAGCTATGCTCAAGTTGGAGAGCACTAGCCTTGAGCACAAAAGCTCAAGGACAGCACCCAGGCCCTGAGTTCAAGCCTCAGGACAGACACACACAAAAATACTCTTCCTTACTAAACTTCAGATCTAGAATATTCGAAACAGTGAAATCAGCAAGGGTCAGGCCACTTCTGGCTAGCATTCACTATAGACATGCTCAGAGCTAGAATGTTCGCTTTTCTTTCTATGTCCTAAGCGCAGGGTACAATGTTGGCTAGACTGAATAAAATGTTAAAGTACCTTATCAGAGCACCCAGGAAAGAGTACTTTCTGTTGTTACCGTTGTTCTTAATCTACTCCTGCCTATTTGGAAGCTAGCCAGAAAATAATCAGCCTGTGGTTCGTATGAATGTTCCAAAAAAAAATATTTATTTATAAAAAATACAATGGGATAAGTTTATGCTGAGAAATGCAGCAATAAATACAGTTGAAGAAAACAGAGCAACTCCACATTGATACATTGGCACAAATGAAGACTTCAACCGCACGCCCCAGGCCTACCTCTCCGCCAAGATCTGTCAGCCTCAGTAAGAGAATGAGTACACATCTAATCACAAATGCACACCGATCATGACTTTATTTAAAAATTAGCAAACAATACTGTAGACATTGATATGAAAATTTCTAAAATGCTGCATCTTAGATTTAGTTGGCAAAGGCCACGTGTAGCAATAAACATGAGTTTAGTCTTCCATGTAGAAACCAGATCTGCTAAACTGTAAAAAAAAACAACAAAACAAAACTTTCCTATTGTTTGAAAAAACCAGCTTAAGTGTAAGATCGTAAAAATGCATAGGTCTTTAATAAAAGAACTGGCTGTACAAGAATTCCCCTTTCACAGTATTCCTTTTTACTTCACTTGCAGGTTACTGGCTAGGCTGTAGGATTTAACTGTTACAGCACTAAAAGGCAACTATTTAGGGAAGAGGCAGAAAAAGGAAAAAGGAATGTATGTAAGGCATTAAAAAAAAAAGGTACAAGAAGCATAATAGTGTTTTAGGAAGACAAGATAAAAATTACTCAAGGCTAGTTTGGTTCTCACTGGATAAAAATCAATGGACTATATACTGATTGCCTCTGTGACTCTAATAATCAATGCCTTGGTCACCATATTGGTAATCTCTGGGGTAGTCATCCTGGTATTCGCCATGGTACTCATCCGGGTATTCTGCCTGATAATCACTATCACTGATTTCTGACCCATTTGTTCCCGTGCCTTGACTTCCATTGTGAATGACAGGTTCTGTGGGGGCAGCACAGTACTTGGGGTCGTACACTTGCCGCCCAAGCCCATACACACTCATTCCTTTCTGGGAAGCAACTTTATTGGTCCCCATCTGCAGGGAAATGGTCGAGTTGTCCACTGGTTGTAATGTTAGCTTCTGATCGTAGATATCTCGTCTGGTGCCTGGTGCTGACATCCCTGCCTGGGATCAGAACACGATACACAGGTTACACACAGCAGCTTAAACACATGAAAATAAATCTATGCCTGTTCGTGTTCTATAAAGTGTGATGTTCACGCTGAGTGTGACAGTGGATGCAGCAGGTCCTTCCTTGGGTGCAGCTCACTTAGATGGGGGGAAGTTCTCCCTCTGAAGTGTTTTTAACAGGAAATACGTTAACATATGTCGTCATGCTGCAATTCTATCTGCTACCGAAGAACTATTTTGCTACCATTTTAGGATCCACTTAACATTTTACAGAAAATGTGTTCCTTAGAAGCTCAGTTATAAGAATTCTAGTTTAAGAGGTCTAAAGAGAAACATGAGATAATCTTACCTATCATCTTAAAAAGTCCCCTTTAAAAGCTAAACCAAAAGAGGAAATATAAGTAAATAAATAAAAGCCAGCCTTTAAACAGTGCGATCTTTTGCTTGGACACACACATCTGTTTTTCCTTCTGGTTAGGTAGAAAGGCCAGCTGTTCTAACTGCCAACAAAAACTGCAAGCCACACCCCATTTTCGGTGACTGTGAGAGAAAAGGCCTTTTGATTCTTTTGCTTTCTCAGCAAAATTGACTTTCCTGAAGAATATTCTCTCAATATACTATGCTGAAAAAAATATCCTTGTGTTTTGGGGTGAATGAGAATGAAGTAAGGGTATGCTCTTGGCTGCAAGATAGGAAGGCGCTGCTCACCTGGCTGGCTCCCTTGTTGGTGCCCATCTGCAGGCTAATCGTGGTCTGGTCAAAGGGTTTGTCAGTCTGCATCTTGGGATCATAAAGATGCCTCCGAGTCCCGTAGGCTGTCATGCCTGCTTGGCTGGCACATTTGTTGGTTCCCATCTTTTCAGGTGGAAAGAAAATGAGTGCTATTGATCAGATGGCAACCTCATACCCAACATTCTCTGCTGCTAATAAAGATGGAGCTGGGAATGTGGTTAGTGACAATGAGCCCTTCCTACCAACAAGGCTCAGGGTTTGATTTCCTAGCACCAAAACAAAACAAAAAAAAAAAAAAAGGTGGAAAGATGTGGCTTGGCTAAGTTCCTAAGAACTTATGTTTGTCAGAGGACTAATTTGTTAATTTGTTAATTCTCCTCTAGGTTTGTTTTGCAAACAGAATTCCAAGGACTAGCCAGGCACTGGTGTCTTACTTATGTAATCCCAGCTACTCAAGAGGCTGAGATCTGAGGATTGCAGTTCAAAGCCAACCCAGGTAGAAAAATCCATGAGACTCTAAATCTCCAATTAACCACCCAAAAACTGGAAATGGGGCAGTGGCTCCAAGTGGTAAAGCACTAGCCTTGAGCGAAAAAGGTCAGAGACAGCACTCGGGCCCAGAGTTCAAGCCCCAGAACCAACGTGCACAAGTATATATATATATATATATACAAAATTCAAGGACTTTTTTAAATCTTTAGAAAATATTTATTGATTGTACCTCACAGCATAAGCAACCACACATACACGTGCCTACATAATATTACAGTGGCAAAATTATGGATCATTATTTCCATGCTTCTCTTCTCTTCCTCATTATAGCTCAGATAAGCACACTAAGGGCTGGCTACCTGCTTCAGTCACGGAAATGGATTAAAGCAATCTGGCCAGACAATAAATGTGCCTTCTAACTCCAGCTATGGAGTTAGAAAAAAGTTAAGAAAGTGTGAGTAAATACCAGGTCCGTAATAAGCACTTGGTTGTTTGTTTTTAAAACAGGATTCACTAATATAGCCCTTGCTGGCCTCAAATGCACAATCTTCTACTTTAGCCTCCTGAATGCTGGAATTACAGGCATAAGCCACTGGCCCAGCTCATTAAACTTTTTTTTTTAAAGCTTCAAAATCACCAACATTCTCATGGGAAAAAGAACTACAATTTATAACTTCAACTTTCATACACTGGCCAGAGCCAGAAACAGGAAGAATGAGGAATCAGAACTCAGCCAAGTCCAAAGGAACAATTAATTTCTTTTCCTCACTGAGAACTCTGTGCCTTTAGGACCAATCAAGCACCGTGTTCTCCATTCTACCGTTGGAAGGTTTTGTTTTGGCTCATAAAAACATTAAGGAAAGCTTTTATTACTAAACATAAAATGAAAAAGATTCAGAAGGCATATTAAAGCCAAAAAGGAAGAGGTGAAACTCACTGGAGTTCTAGCATTTTGTGCACCTGTGGTAGAGCAATGCCAGCCAGCAGTTTGAACTTATGGGTCTGCATACAATTCTATAACTGTACATATACTGACACACAGTTACAAAAAAATGCATGAACATACTTAAATTTTTTAAAAAAACACACTGCTCACAGTATTTTATAACCAAACTTTCCCCTTAACCTTTCAAACATGGCTTTATTTTTACGTAATAAGTTTCCAAGTTCAACAAGTTGTAATTTAACCAACAGACTAGTTTGAAAAATCAGGTTTCTAATTTCTCACTCTTCATTGTTTTGTACTTTCTAAAAGTAAACCCACCCCAGAGACTCAGAGGGGAGAGGGGGTATGTCCACAGCACACAAAGCCTTTGGCCAGGATGTGTTTGTGCCTCTCTCCAGGGTAACATGTGAAGGAAAAGGGATCCTAACAAGCATTTGCCAGGATTTTATAGGGTTTAGTGTCCTAGTCAATGAATGACTTTGGCCTTAAGTCTTATAAAACTGCTTCATTTTGCCATATGCCGGTGGCTCACGCCTGTAATCCTAGCCACTGAGGAGTCTGCTGAGGATCACGGTTCAAAGCCAGCCCAGGCAAGAAAGTATATGAGAGTTTCATCTCCAGTTAACCACAAAAAGCCAGAAGCAGAGGTGTAGCTCAAGTGGTAGAGTGCTAACCTTGAACAAAAAAAGCTCAGGGACAACACCCAGGACATAAGTTCAAGTCCCAGATCAGCAAAACAATATCAACAACAATAAACAAACAAACATTTCATTTGTTCAACCATGTTCAGAAATTTATACAGCTTTTCTTTTTAGAAATGGTATGACTTCAGAAAAAAACACTTCTCATTTCCTGGAGAAAGCTGTCAAATCAGGTGACATACTTGGGAATGTTTTCTAGAATCACCAGCCATTTCTATAGACTGTATTTTGTTACTTGTTTTTTTAAATGTATTTAGAAATACGTAAGTCTGAACTCAGGGTCTCATGTTTCCTAGACAGGTGCTCTACCACTTGAGCAATAACTCTCAATCCTTTTTATAGGTTTTCAAATAGCAGTAACTGTAAGCCGAGCATGGGTAGCTCATGCCTATAAACCTACCTACTCAGAAGGTTCAGATTTAGGATCACATTTTAAAGCCAGCCTGGGTAGGAAGGGCCATGAAATTCCAATTAACCAAAAAAAGAATGGAGCTGTGGCTCTAGACTACCAACTTTGAGCAAAAATGCTAAGGATCAGCTCCCAAGCTCTGAATTCAAGCCCTAGTACAACAATAATAAATACTGTAGAGAACACATATCCATTCAAGAAATCTACATTTATAATACTGTATAGACCACATACCCACCTAAGAAATCTACATAATACTGTATAGACCAATATCCACCCAAGAAATCTAGATTACAGTACCTTTACCTATACCTTACATATGAGAGAAATAACATTTTGCATGGCAGTAATTAATGAGCTCGAGTAACTAAACAGTAACATCTCACCTGCAAACCAATTACACTCTGGCCAGCCTTTAATTTTCCTTCATCAAAACGTCTTGTTTGTTTCTCTGCATATTTGACTCCAATGTCGATGGTTGTATGGAATCCTTTAGTTTTAGCCTGGACAGAAACAATTACAGCAGCTGAATAGGCACACTTTAGAGATTTTTTTTTTGCCAGCACAGTTTTGTAGAGAGACTGGTGAAGAAATGTTAGGTCCACAGGCACAAGCCTCACTAGGTAAGTCCACACTAGACTGGAGAAACATATTTCAGGCTAATCAGTGTCACACTGTTCCCTCTGAAATGTGTGGGTTCCAATGAACCCATCAAAGTCTGAGGCAGCTAATAATATCACAGCCTCCCTGCAAAGCTAGTAATTACAGAAGACACAGGGCCTACCCCCCCACCCCCGCCATGCTCCGAACCCCTGTGGGAGGGGACAATGATGAAATCCATCAACACTGACATGAGGGGAATGGAGTTAACCAGCCCTGAAGACATGTACATACCAGCCCTGCCAGCGCCACCAGCGTCGTCTGAACCTGGGTCATGTTTCCATTCTCAAAAAGATCGTTTGCTTCAAATATGTCATGTGGCTTCATACCATAAGCCTGAATAGCTTTAATAAAGTTGCCAATATTTTCCAACTGTAGAGGAAAAAGAGGCACATGACTAACGTGGCAAGCTAAATATTGACATTCTAAGATCTGAAGTCTTCATGACTTAAAGATGACAGACAGGAAAGTACTTGGCAAGGAATTTTTGGTCAGTTACACACAAAAGCACAACTTTCTCTGAAAAAGGAGTTACGTAATGGACTCAATATTTAAGCAATTTTTTTTTCTAGCTCTTTAAGGACAAAAATCTTCCCTCTACATTTTGAAGAATTGTACTATATCACAGTTAGAGTTAACCAGGCCTGGAATTTTCTTTATCCAAGATTGTACACTTACTAAGTAACCCATTACATGCTTTATTCTTAATTGAAAAATAAACCTATGGTTATTTAATTGTCCACAATCTCTCCTATCTCAAAACATTATTCTTAGCGGTGTTAGAAGAGATGGGGAGAATGAGGAAAGGGGTGACTGTGGTCAAGAGGCACTGTGCTCATAAACAGACATGTTGAATTGACACCCCTTTGTATAACTCCTTTGTACAAGTTGCAGGCCAGATAAATACCTGAAATTACTCAATCATACTCATTCATGAGCTAAAACTACATCTGATACACTGTGCTGAAAAGAAGTAATTATATTAAATGCCTTGCTTGTTCCCTTTCCTTCCTATTATGTCTAATTTGTATCTCCCATGTTAAGTTTTGTGAAATGCTTTTTGAAAGTGTGAAGACTGAATCAGGGCTAAACAAATAGTCATTATGGAAACATTTTTTTAGAGTGACAAAACCAAACTCCAAACTTGACATTTGTCTACCAAATATAAAGAAACGAGCTGTGTGTGGTATGTTTGCCTATAATCCCAGCACTTTGGGAGACAAAACAAGAGGACTGTGAGTTCAAGGCTGGCTTAGGCTATACTGCTAGACCTTATCTCCCTCCTCATTTCCACCCCCCCCCCCCAAAAAAAAGACATCAACTAGAGGCAAGAGGCTGAGGCTCTTTGCTTGGTGATTACCTGAGGCCAGTTGAGCGAGGACTCGTTGACCTTCTTCACAGAGCCCGGCTGTAGCTTGTTTATGAGTCTAAAGGCAAAAAATACATGGAACCGCTTATTGACTGGCCAAACAAGAACTGCAATATTGAATCAGTAAGCACTTCGGTAGAGGGCTCACTGGACAGGCAATATCCCAGTCCCAGACAATGCCCTTGGAAGCCATGGGAAGGACCCACGGGGCAGAAGGGCCCCACCCCCGGGGCCTCCTTACTCGCAGAGGATGATGCCATCCTTGAGGCCCAGCTGGAAGTTGGTGCCAATGCTCATGCCTGTCACCTCTTCTATCCAGTTGCGAAGATCTTCTTCCGCCTGGTGATCATATTTGGAAGCAATCTGAAACACAAGGTCAGTGGCTTCAGAGCCATTCCATCACAGCACCACCAAGTCCCGATGCAGGGCCCTGCTTGGACTCATTATGCATGGAGACCCCCACCCCACCCCAAGAACTGGCAGGAAGTGACACGCACCAGCAATGGCACTGAGTTTAACTTTTGATAACTAAGCACAAATTGATGGTTATGATGGTCATGAGAAATTCTGAAGAGCAAATGGAGAAAAGCTGGGACTAAGGAAAGACCATCCATCAAGATGAAGAGACTCAAGTCTGACACACAGGAAATGACAGGATCTTAGTGTAGAGGACACTATGACATCACATGTGATTTAAACTTTAAAGACCAAGTCATCAATCATCACATTAAAAAATGATGGGACCAAAGGAGGATACTCTTGGGAGAGGAACACACAGGCACAATGCCTATGTGCCTCTGATCATACTAAATAATATTGACCAAAAAGAACTCGGAGAAACGGAAGCAAGAAGTTTTTTCTTAGTTGCTGTTTTCATCTTCTTGTTGTCTTGATTGTTCATTTATCTGTCTTTGGGAGGGTAAGGGGGGCCACAGAAATGGAGGGACAAAGGGTGAACAAATGCATCAGTGGTACTCACTAGACACTGTTGAAAATGAATGCTATAACTTGTGGGTGGGGACAGTAAGGAAAAACTGGGAGAGAGTGAGGGAGGGGGTGACATTGTCCAAAAAGAAATGTACTCATTGCCTGAGTTGTGTAACTGTGACCCCTCTGTACATCATCTCAATAATAACAATAAAAATTTTAGGGGCTGGGAAGGTGGCTCAGTGGTAGAGCGCTTGCCTTGCATGCCGGAGGCCCTGCGTTCAATTCCTCAGCACCACATAAGCAAAAAGAAAAAAGCCGGAAGTGGCGCTGTGGCTCAAGTGGTAGAGTGCTAGCCTTGAGCTGAAGAGCTGAGGGACAGCGCCCAGGCCCAGAGTTCAGGCCCCACGACCGGACCCAAAAAAAAAAAATTTAAAAATCAATAAAAAATGAGAGAATTATACAAAATTACTTTATATAGTATCTCAATTAGCCAGCACAGATCACACTCAATGTAGTTCTGTTACCTAGGAAGTTCTGGCACTTGCCTTCTCTTCAGCCAGATACACAGAACATGGTCTGCATGCACAGACTGACACGGATACATGCACACGTGCATACATGCTCTTTCCTCAGTACTAAATGTAGACCACTGAAACTGTTCATGTAGGCGCCTCATAGGAAAGACAAACCATTTTGTCTTAGTACCTACTGCAGTACCTGACAACAAATACTGAATAGAACGAAAGAAAACTGGCATGCTGTGCTATTATTATTACATATGCCAAGACTACTAGGAAAATACAGGTTTTGAAAGATACCATATACTTCAGTTTTTAAAAATACAATTTAGAACAAAATATCACTAAAAATCGCACACTCAAGTTCTTTAAAACCTTAAGACCTCTTAAGAGTCCATTCAATGAGTTACTAAGCAGATCACAGGGGGGAACAAGGAGAGCTCACAAATACTCTGTTCTCTTTGGGTAAAGACACAGAATATATACACATAATCTAGTCTGAGCTATCACAAGGGAACCAGGCAGAAAGTTCGAGGTGCCCTAGGCCCGTTGTGTTGGAATACAGACCTACAGGCTGCATCCAGCTCTTTTCCAAGAGAGAGAACTGGAAAAGGTCTGCAGGATGCATCTCACCTCTCATCACTCAAAACTGAAGTCCACTACGGGGCCTAAAAGCAAAGGGTCTGGTCCCCTCCACCCTCTGCCATCACGGTTTAAGTCTGAAGATGGGAAAAGATCTCATTTCCAAGTTCAAATAAATGGAAGAGGCAGGGACCTGGTACAGGCTCACAAGAGCCTCAAGATATGACTGAAAACACAATGTGAGACTCGTGAAGTTCACAGAGATCTTCTCTCCCAACTTCCCCCTCTTGGGTCAAGGTAGAGATGGAAAGATAAATCTCTAAGTCCTGACTATATTTTCATACTGGAATCTTTTTCTAGGTTGGCTAGAAATATAAACAGCATAAACCAGAGGTATGGATGAAAGGGAGTAAGAAAGTACAGAAGCTAGTATTCTCATGGGTACCAAAACAATTGCTATGGAAGCAAATTTTGAATGTGAATTGAGATTTTTTTTGAAAGTCACTACCTTACATCACTTTTATAATAAAAAATTAAAATTAAAAACAAGTGAAGTCATTCTCAGCCTACAGTAGAGTGACTTACCACTGTAATCCCAGTTACTCGGGAAATTATTAGAAAGATTGTAGACTCTTATCTAAAAAAGTAACTAGAGCTGAGTACTAGTAGCTCAAGCCTGTCCTAGCTACTCAGGAGGCTGAGATCTGAGGATTGTAGTTTGAAGCTAGCCCCAAGAGGAAAGACTGTGAAACTCTTATTTCCAATTAATCACAGAAAAAGCTGGAAGAGCCTGTGTGCCTCAAGTGGTAGAGTGCTAGCCTTGACCACAAAGGAACTCAGCAGGCTCAGAGTTCAACCCCAGGACTGGCAGAAACAAAACAAAAACAACTGGGTGCCGATAGTTCACACCTGCAATCCTAGGTACTCAGGAGACTGCGATCTAAGGATTATAGTTCAAAGTCAGCCTAGACAGACAAACCTGTGACTCTTACTTCCAATTAACCAGCAAAAGGCCAAGAGTGGAGGTGTGGCTCAAGTAGTAGAGCACCAGGCTTGAGTGGAAAAGCTTGAGGCCTTGAGTTCAAACCTTAGTACTGACACAAATAAATACAAAACAAAACCCAAACCAAACAGACCCTAGGTATGTAGCCGTATCATCTTGCTGTTTTACCTTTGGCTGTTCTTTTATCTTTTAAAGAAGCAACAAAGACTTTTATCCCAAATACTGCAAATGTTTTTCTAGTTAGTAGAGCCCAAAAAGTATGGTCTCTTAAAGGCAAGGAGCTGAAAGCAACTAAACGTTCTATTTAAAAAATAAAAACTACTTTCATCCAAAAAAAGCTTTAATTCCTGAACATAAAGAAAAATGATAATATCTTTCTTGTAACAAAAATAATTACCTTCAAATAATTGGTTTTAGCTGGGTGGCGGTGGGTAGTTCCCACCTGTAATCCCAGCTACTCAGGAGGCTGATATCTGAGGATCATTGCTCAAAGCCAGCTGGTGCTGGAATTCCATGAGATTTATCTCCAATTAACCACAAAAAAATCCCAAAGTGAAGCTATGGCTCAAATGGTAGAGCACTAGCCTTGAGCAAAAAACAACAACACAAGCCAAGGGCTGGTGGCTCACACCTGTAATCTTAGTTACTCAGGAGGCTGAGATCTGAGGATCGAGGTTCAAATCCAACCCTGGCAGGAAAGTAACATTCTTATCTCTACCACCAAAAGAGCAGAAGTGGAGCTTTGGTGGAGTTACAAAACATGAGCTACAACCAAGAATGGCTGGGGGAAAAAAATCATTTTGCCCAGCTCTTCAGTCTAGAAAGAGACAAATACTAAGTAGGGTGTGTTAAAGATGATGGGGGGGGGGGGGGGGAGATAATCACTAAGACATATTAAGGCATATATTTAAAATAAAGAATGGGAAGTGGGAGTTAAAATAGGAACAGTCTCAAAATCTCAACTAAATACATTTTCATCTGAAATGTCCTGTTACCTCAAATTCCCTTCCTTTTGATATATCACTTTGCATTCTGGACACCTCAAACCAGAACAGTCCAACAAGCTTTAGTATTTCTTCCCTACCAGAAATTCCTCACAGAACAGACCCTATAAACATCTTAGCAAAAATTTAAAGTATTCACATTGGTCTAATTAGACTAAAGATCACATGCTTTGGGGGTCAAACTTCAAAACTCAGTGCTTGCAATTCCAGAGAGATCTTAATTAAGTACCTGCTGGTCTTTCCCCCACAGGTCTCCATTTCTTCAGGAAAAAGGAAGCCCCACAGGTAAAGCCCCACCCAACACATGATGCACTCCAGAAGTGCTGCAAACTTTTCCTATCAGCTTGAATGGAAAGGAATGAAGTTTTCTATTATGAACAATTATTTCCTTATTGTTCATAATCAATAGAAAACCTCCACAACTGGGACCCTCGTACTACCAAAGGCGCTGGTCTGCCCGGGTCTTTAAGCTTCTAGCCTATTTTGTCTTTGATCCCAAATTTGCATTCCTTTCATACCATAGCTGATAAAAGGGAAGAAGTAATCCGTCTTCGCAAAGCAGGGCTCTATCTTAGGGGAAAAATCGCTGCACACTTCTAATTCCATCAGGATGTCCACAATGCCTTCCTCCCCATCAACCTGGGCCAACTTGCCAAAGACATTCGAAAGCCATGGAAAACCCTGTCTGCAGCAGGACTGGATGCTAGGGACATCAGGGATCAGTCATGTGCCCACGTGACACCACAGTGTTCTTTCTCCAGACATGTTAGAGTCAGTGCATGAGGCAGTTTTTGGTTGCTGTGACAAAATAACCTGAGAAAAACAAAAGATTACTTTGGGGCCACCTGGAGGACATCCAGGTGCATCCTGGGATAAATCTGCAAGGAGACAGACTAAGTAAGCAAGAAGGGAAGAACACAGGTGTGAATGTGGGCAGCACAGACAGCAGCGGACTTGCTGGCAGGCAATGGCTCCGGGTGAGAGGTTGCTTCTGAATCTTAGAGATCTACAGAGATGGTAATAGCTGAACTGCCACAGGTACAATGCCTGAAGACAGAGGGGCTGTGAAGCTCTCTCCCATCAGCAGGGGTCTGGGGAGCCCTCTGCCTCCCTGGTCACCGACCAGCCATCCAAGTGTTGTCTGTCTGCAGATCCAAACTGGAGTCAAAAAATGCTCAGAATCCATACCACTTCCTCCTGAGCTTTGGGGGCAGGGGGACAACAAGGAGAAACCATCTCAGCATTTCTGCCAGCCTTAGGAAACTCTGGAACTCCCTTGGGGACCCACATCTAGATCTCAGATCATGAATGCCTTTGGGAGTGGGG